TGTTTTCATGTTATAATTTCTGTTCATTCTAGAAAGAAAGAGGCATAATTTATATTTATTTCCTAATTTTTATGGTGGTTGCAAGATCGGTCAATTCTACTGAACCCGTACAGAGATTAATTACTGAAAATAACAGATAAAATATAAAGATTTTTCTTAAGAAACATTTGATAACTATCTCAACATTATAAAGATTTCACATTTGAAATTTCAAAATGTTCTGATTCATAAAAGTATTTTTAATCTTAAAAGTAATATATTGCATGATAGATAGGCAACATGCGAAAAGAAAAAAAAGACATGAGAAAAACATTGCTTTACAAACCTTACGACTTAATGAAAAAAAATTGATATTTTGCAAATGAAAGCATTGTAATGTTTACTGATAATATGCCAAATTTCCTTAACATTTGCTTATTAATTTAAAATTTATAGCATGAAAACTATAACAAGCACAAAATGGTTACGAGGTCTGACCCAGGGACCAAGCCCATGCTGAAAGAGTTTAAAAGCTTTAAGTACAGGATGAAACAGGAATTACCAGCCAATAATAGATGAATATTAGATGACCGTAACACGTAGAAACTCAATGGTTTGTACACTATACAATCAGTGACTTCAGGGAGCCAGCCCCTATATTATGTATGAAGTGATGGAGTAAAAAAAAAATACACATAATATTATATTTTATTACAACATTCACAGAATAATTACTGTAAAAGGCACAAAGATTTATTTAAAGAAATGTTTTAGACATACGAGTTATTTGGAAAAACTGCTTTTCTACTGATTTAATTTTATACGTTCTTAGTGGAGGTTGTGTCTTAGCCTAGTCATATATATGCCCATTGCTATGCATTATATACAGAGAATTTAGTTACACAGAAACTACAAATGGCACCATATTTTCAAACTAATCTCCATGACAATCTCCAGATGTAACTTAAATTTTTACATCTTGAACTAATGTGATCAAATAGTCAATAGCTACAGTAAATCATCATGGACTGTATCAGCTAGTATCCCACAACAGATATCTTTAAGCTTTAGCATCAAGCTCAGTTTGAGCATCAGCTCTGCAATCACGGTGATTGCCAATCCTAAGTGTCAAATTACAGCCAACATTGCTTGATTGCAGATTTTATATATACTGCAGATAGAGTAGCCATCATTGAAGCTGATTATAAAAAGTTGCAAAAATCGTGCCAGCAGAAGATGGCAAAAATGATGGCGATTCTAGGCAAAAGTGATACAGAAGTTTTGTGGCTATATATTTTATTGATAAAATAATTACTTTCAGATAAAGTATGCAGCAGCAGTGGCCCACCAGAGTTTAGAGTCATCACAGTGTAATTCTAGCTAACAACAAGGAGTCAAAATAGGGATTTGTAGCTTCAGTATATAGTGTCTATGGTAGCTCCAGTCTTGTATATTTACCTTGTTCACTATCCCTATTTGCAGGTTTTTAAATTCACAATTTTTTATCTTGTGTCTGAAACCTTAAGTGTGTTTATTTACTTTTTTGCAACTGCATTTTCACTTTAAGCTAGCTATTTTGTTTCTGTGTTGTTTTTTTACAATCCCTATTCCCCTTTTCCAAATTAACAATTTTTAATATTCATGTGCTAATTGTATTCATATACAATGATAATACAGTACTTTAATTAAATTTTGAATATAACTCTCTAAAAACTTGTGACATATGCACTTTGATCTACCCGTAGCAAGGGTTAATATGTTCAAATGGGAAAAATACACAAAACTGGAGACGTTCAAATAGCCTAGAACAAGTGGACTGTATCACAAAATATAGGTTATCGAAATGTATAATGAATATGATTCCAACACTAAAACTGTACCAATCAGTCATATTAAACTAAAAAAAGCCTTTGAAATGGGGAAGTGGATTCCAAGAAAATAACTTGCAATGACTAGGCAAACTAAATCAAAACAAAAAGTAGGTGAAAAGATAACTTGTGAAGTTCAAAAACATGAAAAAAAAGTCAATAACAAAAGAAAGAAAAAAAAACTTTCAAACATAAGTTCATTTTCAGGTGACTGTATTATATAGTTTCTTGATCTGATAAAGACTTATTTTTATCCGTTGGAAACTTCTGCACGTCATATTTATCTGTAGATTGTGAAATAAATATTTAATGTTTACCACGTAACAGATAGTAAATCTTTTTTAACTCCTAAATTCATTATTTGAGCCACTAGCTCACATCACAAAACAACCATACATAAACTTCTGTTGTTAAAAATAATCTATCAGAACAAATTTAACAAAGTACCTGTACATCTTCTTCTGAGGATATTTCAACTCGAAGAAATTTAAGAATAGCATGTTCTTCAGTTGAAAGTGCCAGCAGGAGATCATCATTTAGAAGATGATAATTGAGTGAAAGTTCACAAAGCCGATGACAGTGGTCAGCAACAGCCTGGATACCTGAAAAGAGAAAAAAAAAATGAATTGTCATGAATTAAAGGCTACCAAAAAAAAAATTATGTTTCTTTGGATACAATGAAACACTAACAAAAATAATCATCCTGCAGCTTGAAAGTTTAATTATATAAATAGTTTAAATCCTGAATATTTACTTGAATTAACAAAACTGTGGGAGAAATTTTGAAAAAGTAACAGTGACAGTACCAGCGATATTACTAAAGCACATGGGTAACCTTGTCATTGTGAGGTGGAGCTTAGGCTGAAAGTATGATAACTCATAGAGGGTCCAGGGGTATGCTTCTCTGAAAAATTTTTTGAATCAAGACTATCAGAAACACTATTTCCTGAATTTCCTGGCCTCTTTTCAAACAACAACATAAACAGAAATTACAGCATGAAAATGTAATAAATGTATAAATTTACATTATATATTTACATGTTTTAGATCTGTTGAATAAGTGCACACCACTGACTGTCCAACTGAAATATGTGGTCATACAACATACACTATTCTTTTTTTCATTTCTCATTTGCTCAAAGTCATTAAAAATGGCATCAATAGTATTTTTCTAAAGAACCTTTTTTTTTTTAAGTAAAAAAGAGACTCATAAAGGTTTCAGCTAAAGTGATTCTAGTAACTGAGTTCCTCCACCATATAAATGCTGGTAGAAACTGATATATAAAACCAAAGTAGCCTGGTAGATGAGATGAAGTATGCAGGTGATTAAACACACACCTGGTATCTAATCAGAACCATGAAATAGTCTAGATTACAGTATTGATAATACTTGTAATAAATAAAAGGACAACCTAAATACCCTATTTTTAAAAGAGCAGAAAAAGAAAAAAACTTAATGATCTGGCTGCATATCACCAAAGCTATGTCAAACAAAATAATTTTGTTGAATATTTCTATTTGTGGAAGATTTTGACCCCCAAATTTTATGGAAGTAGCATATTTTGATCAGTGACACCTACCCATAATCAAAATCACATTTATTCTATCGTCTAAAAATGCTTAATTGAATTAAAATTTTATATGTGTAAGCTCATCCAATCTAAAAACAAAAAAGTAGTGTTATGAATATATTACTTAGTTATGATTTGATATAATTCATATAAAAATATTAAAATACATTAAACCTTGTACTTACAGGAGTGACCATATAATTCAAGCAGAAGCTAAATGAAACAGCCTAAAAACAATGTTAAGAATTAAGAAGTCAACAGAACATACTTTGTTTCTTTACTAAAGTTAACAAAGGTCATAAAGTTGAATAAAGAACTAGTTTTGATCATGACAATAACAATTATAACTAACAGCAAATAACAAAGGATTAGTTCAATCCTTTTGATTTCATGTTCAAACATATTAGCAGTGTTAAAAATAAAGACACAGATAATAATAAAAGAAATATTATTGACCATCTTCCTAATATGCATTAATATTAAGTCAAATACCTCTTAACAGAGTCAAATACATAACAATTATATTTTCTCAAAATGTACCTCTGGCAGAAACTCGGGGACAGCTCTTCATCTCAAGGAATTCCAAAGAATTGCTGCTGTTAGTGGCCAAGAGTTGTAATGATGGATCATCAACAGGAGTCTCTTCAATAGCTAGGGAAGATAGGGAATGGCACTTGTCAATGACTAATGTCAAGGCAGAGACAAACTGACTGGGATCCAGCTGAAGGAAGGACGGTTTAGCAGATGACATCAACTGAAGAGTTTTTAAGGAGCAATGTACCAGTTGGGATAGAATTTGGCATGCAGTTTCAGCAGACTCCCTACAACTGTCTACTTTGAATGTAACAAACCTAAGGTGCTGGGCATGGTGTTTGAGAATATAGTGAATTAAGGCTGGAGGTGTGGGCTGGAGAGAAGACCTGACCACAAAAAATAAAACTTCATTAAAATACAAATGATCAGAATAATAAATTTACAAACTAAAAAACATAAATACATGAGGTTAAATTGTTATCATCACTTCAGTCTTTCATTGTTTATTTAGTGAATGATTAAAAAGAAATATAATTCAATTCTTTCGTCATAACACAACTAGTAGTAATTAAATTCTCTCTATTTTATAAAAAAAAAGTGAAAGTTGTAAAGAAAAAGTTTTTCTGAACAATAAAGACATACAGAAATCTTTTCTACCATGTTACAGCAAACAAATAACTGTCAAACAGATGAATTACTTGGATTGAATTATTTGGATTGATGTTAGCTTTCATCACGTAATATAAGGAATATTAAAACAAGAGGAAATCCTCAATAGCTGCAGCACTGGAAATTCTTTTAGGCAGGATTAGGGTAAATTAATCTACGAGACTTTTTTTTTCATTAGCTACATTTTTATGCACTAGCAATATGAAGTGTGGGGCGCATGTATTCCAGATTCAATTTTATTATTCATCAAGATCTCTACCAGCCTACCCTCAAATTTAAATTCTTTTAGGCAGGATTAGAATAAGTTAATCTATAAGACCTTGGGCACGGTCAAATACATCAATCAAAAGGGTTTGACCGCTCGAGTCCAAAACTGTAATTAGATCTCAAATCAGTCAAAAGATAACATAGCTATGAGCTAAAAGTTTGTATTTTAAAAACAAAACTCAGAGCCATTCTATAAGCTGGTATGCCGTTACTAAAAATACACTACAAAAATAGTTTATAAGTGCTTTCAATATTCTGCAGTTGCTTCACTGTATTATTACGAATAACAGTTTCATTTCAAAAATGATAATCCCATAAAATTGCAACTTTTCCAACTTTCGATCTGTTTTAAACATGACTAGTTTTTTTATGAGGTCAACTGCGATTTTCCTAAAAACTATTACTTATTTACTACGTAGAATTTCTGAATAAGTGATATTTGTAATTGTTTCTTCCTGGCATGTTCCTTTGGCTGTTAGGCGAGAAGCATGTATTAGGTTTTACACATTGATTTGAAATCAGGAGAAAATGCTTTTGGTATAGGACCACGTATTTTTTCAGTTCACAGTCAAGATGCAAAAAATGTCATAAATTGCAACGTATAATGAACAATAAATGTAAAGTTTTGATTTTTTTACACATGATCATACAAACTATTTATGTGTAAAGTTTTACATTATTTATCTTTAGTTCACACATGTTGAAACTATCTTCCAAATATTGTCATTATTGTAATCCTCACAGAAGCCCATGTAAAACACAAATTAGCTGTACTAAAGTTTTTATAAACTGAATTTGCACAGTTTATAAAATACAGATGAGTGGTTTGTTTCTCAGTTCACAGAATGTTTACTATATTATATAAGTTTTATTAGTACGAAGATTAGTAAGAAACCCAGAAAGTGGTTTTATAAAACAGCTCATTAAGTAGTTATGAATATTCCTGCATTTTGAAATTATAGTTGTATATAAATCTTGAAATTTTTGTCATGTTTTAAGTAATTGTAATTATTTGTTATTTACCAAATTTTATTTGTCCTCAAGAAGTGCAGTTTTATAGATTTCTTGGTAATTGATCTTTTTTTCCTGTTTACCTATGATATTGTTGGTTTCCTGTGGTATGCTACTAGTTCGACAATGTAGCTGTAACTTGCCTTAGGTTATTTGACCTGAGAGTGTGAAGAATGGAACATTTCCAATTAGAACACAATCGTAGGGATGACAGCATTCCCATAATATGTAAAATGAAACCGATATCACAAATTGCAGTGATCTCACTATGCAGACAAAGTTGGCATTTTTAAATATGTAATTATATATAGAATATAAAAAATTGATAATTTTTATTGCAGGAGAACTCTAAATTTTACAAGTGGAGTGACTTTGTTTTCTTTATGGTAATGTAACAAATTGTATTGCATGATGGCATATCAGGCAATACCTTTCATGTGCAATGTATTTTATGCTTTCTTCAATTGCATAATTTTGAATATATATATATATTAGAAGGTCTATCTCAAAATATTTAATTTCTATTTCATTTATTTTTAATATATACTTGGCTAAGAAAATTTGGGATTAGAATTCAATTCCAACACCATAAATTTAGCTATCCTATATAATATTTAATTTGCATATGAGATATATCTATCACAAAGCACAAACAACAAAGATAAATCTATAAAACAACCCAAAATTGTATAAATTCACAGAATTTTTACTTCAGATAATACAAATCATATTGTTATGAAATCAAGAATACTAAATGTTACTGAACAATTATCTAAAGAGTACTAATAAATTTGACAATTAGCAATCAATCGGTCTGTGCTGTTTATTAGCAGCAATCAATTTTTATTGTTACTAGTTTTATGTTTCCGTGGGTGCTATGATTGGCTTGTATGTATTCCTAAATATTAGCTTCACCAACTGTTGAAAAACATTTGTACAATGTAAGACTTTTAATAGGAAAAAATAGTTACATGCATGTCATGTGAGAGCTTATCAGTGTGAAAGGGATAGTGCACTACATACACTCCACCTTTACACTGGATCGTCAACTAATGGCAATATAACATATTCATGCATTGGTGCCATCTTTGGTATAAATCAGTAATAGTTAGCTCTGAAGGAAAACCTTAAAAAGGTTGAAGGCTTAGTGAAACACCTTGAAATCTGCTTCGCCTAAAATGTTACCTATTTTTATTCTTTCTCCTAAGGTTTTTAAAAACTTTTTTTTTGAGATTTCAGTCACACTGTGGCAACATTATACTTTTTTCACAGGTCTAACACAGTAAGAAAATTAAAGCGATTTTTTAAAAAGTTCACAACTCAAAGAAAATAATTTTTAAGAACGATCTTTGAAAATAAAATGCAAAAAAATAAAACTTTTCTTTTGTGGCTTCAATCTCCATCTCATGCTCTTTTAGTAACTTACTCATATATCTTATGTAGTTTTTGTGTTTGTTTCTCAAAAACAAATACTGATTAACCAAACAAAAACTCAAATATACAAGACATACCACTGAGGGTGAGCTATAACAAAATCAAAGGACTGCCACAACTGGGGCATGTGGTAAATTTTTTGCCAACTGCAACACACCTGAGCAGCTCTTGCTCTTTCATACAATGTCAGGTGTTTAAATATCTAAAATAGAAAAATAGAGTGAACAAAAATAAATTAACCCTACAACATATAAATATTGCTCTGTTATTCTTGGCTTCTTTAGATAATACAAGAATGACTAAATACTATTTCAAAAACAATGTGGTTGAAGTGTAGAAAACAATGGTATTCATAATTCTGGCCTATATCACTTAGTCAATTAAATTTTAATTAAATGTACCATTATATTATTTGAAATCACATTTTCATATTTTTTTTCTGATTGTACATGTACAGTGTCTCTAAGAATAAAAATTTAAAGGAAGTGAATTGTTTAATTTATATCTTTACAGTAGTTCTAAATACCTAGATGTACTAAATGCCCAAATAAGATAAATTTTCTTATTAGTAGTTATTCAAATTAGTGCTAAGTTTTAAGATTTGAAATATAACATTATGTTCATTTTAAATCAGTGTTAGCACCTGTGTATCTATAACTGCATAATAACTTTTTTCATAAAATCTTCAGCATAGCTAATTGTACACAAGTTCCTTAACTCTCTTACTACGGGCTTGGTGCCAGGAGTAACCTTGTAATCATTTTATGCTTGTTATAGTTTTCATACTACAACTTTTAATACAGCATGTGTATCTTCACAAAATTTTGAAGATTATAAGTAAATATTACAAGGCTTTCACACACAAAATATCAGATTTTTTAAATTAAGTTTTGTGGTTTTTTTAAGTAATGATTTGCTCATGCATTTTATAATTTCAAATGTAGACTGCCCAACATAGAGTAATTTTGATTTTAAGATTAAAAATACTTTTATGCACTTTTTGTCATTCTAGAATGACTATAAATTCTAACAAGAAACCACAAATGTTTAGTCAAAATTGCTTAAATCTCATAAAATTATACACATATATGTTTGTATTATTTTTATTTTATTGACCTTTCAGCTGTGTCTAACTAACATTATAGAGGTTGTAATTGCATGGTGCACGTGCACTCGTGTTACTGTATCGGATAGTATAAAACTGGCCTTTACAAAGTAACCTGTCTTGGCTTTGTTCTAGTATACCAGCATTTTGTAAAATACAATCACATTTTGGTTATAATGAGTTACATATGTATATATATTATTACTATTTGCAAATAAATTCTTAAATTTCACTTATTTTTCTTAAAACAGTAAATAAAGAAATCCAAAAAAAAAAAGATCTCTTCTACTTAAGAACTTTGTACTCATTTGCTGCTTGCCGTAATTTGCTAAGCCTTGCCAAATTTTGCACGTGGAGAATGTAAAAGAAAATAATGTTTTTACGTTTTATATATACATTTTGAAATAATAAAAAATAATAAATTACTATATCAATACCACAGAAATCCACTATAATTCATCAGGCTTAGTAACTAAGCTGTATTTGGGTCTAAAAAAATATATTTTGAACATTTTTACTTACCCCTTCCTTCCCAGATTCAAGACAAAAAGAAAAATTTGGGGGGACTTTCCACCTTTAAGAGCCAGGAAATCACATAGAGGAAATTCTGAGCTATTCATTGGTTATAAAGCCATGAAGAAGCAAAACAGATGTACGTAAGAAAGTACTTACAAAAAGGAAGAAGTGGGTGGGGCCACTGTGTTTGATTTGTTAAGTATAGTGATATCTCAGCAAACAAAAGAGATAGAAGGTTTTTATTTTATATTCTAGCTTGCCAATATTGGTAATTTGAGTTCTTAATTTGTAAGAAACAATAGACTTTGTATTTGAACATCACAATCATATAATTTGAACCAAAGCAGCATTCAACATATCACATGGCACGCAAAAGTTGATATTAGGAATTTTTCTCTAATATTTAATTTTAAACTAAGAAAATAAACTCATGTATAATACTAAAATTTTAATTATAATCTACAATTTGATACCAAACTTATTGACAAACATTTATAAAATAGTAGTTCAATAAAATTTTGAATGTAAGTCTACAAACGTGATGACATGCCCTTTGAACCCTGACCACAGGAAGACTTGTAGCAAGAGGGTTAAGAAGTGTATACTTAAATAACAATACAGTGACGCTTTTCCACGGCTGTTTGTAGTTCATGTTAGCGTTATCTATTTTCTTTTATCTCCAAGTTTAGCCAATTCAACTGGTCCACTATCCAAAAAACAAATTAGGACTCGTATTTCATATTATAATTGATCATTCAATGCCATAATTATAGAGTCAGAAAGGCTTATCTTCTTTTCTTACAATGTAAATCATATTTTTGTTTAATGTTAAGGTTCAATGTTTTTTAATGAGCTACCACAGATTAATTTATAATTTTCAAAATATTTGTCACACACGTCAAAAAGAAGATACCACAGTTTGTCTGTGTTCATTCATATCTGTGAAAGTTTGTGCAAGAATTGAAGTATTTACATGTATGCAATGTCAGATAAGTAGAACATTTAACACTTGTATATATATTTTAAACTGAAGAATTTTAATACTTTAGCTCTTAAAATATTGATCTAATCTAATAAAATATATTTTATATTTGTATTTTACTTTAATACTTTAGCTCTCTAAAAAACACTGATCTAATCTAATAAAATATACTATACTTTATATTTGTTACTATCCTAAAACATGACATGAAACTGCATTAATTGAGACTCATCATCACCACAGATGAAAGCTTTCAAATAACTACTGTTGTAACCTATATTTTTTCATTTTATCTGTCAGTTACCTTCCAGTTCATCACAATAACACCTTCCTTTGGGAAACTTGATCAAAAAAGAATAAAACCTAACTAAACATAAAACAATAACTCATAACTATACAAAAACAACCAACTGAAAAAAAGAGGAGTTTACAAATGGATAATAATATTGATTTCAGGTTTTTTGTAATAATTCAATTCAAAAATACCTTATAAAAAGGTATTTGCCTTGATTCCAGGGTCCTGTTATTTAAAAACCTTTAGACTTGAAATAAATACTGTGTTAAACAAATTCAACTTTCATAAAAACAATCTGGTTACAATGGATTACCTTGAATAGTCTCAAACATTCATGATCAATTCTCTGAGGTGTTAACAATACTTGGATAAGCTTGAGTTCTGTTGAATGGAACTATAATAATGATGAAACTAAGAAACAAAGTTACGCTAAAAAATAATCAAAACAAAAAAGCTGTTTAAAAGGAAGTTTTACAGACTGAAAACTTACCAACAATAGAGCCAAGGAGGGAAGTTCTGTCCAATCTGTCTCATTCTGAGACAGGCCTGAAAGATGAGTTTTAGCACTATCACTTTTATCAACAAGGGCACTGTAGTCACAGCACTTTATATACTTTCCTTTTTTAGCAGAAGAATTATGAGTTCCACTTGTGAAGATAGTAGGACATGGTCTTCGTGCCATGTTTATTAAGTCTGGCTTTTTAACATGGCATACAATAAAAAGCTAAAGAAAGAACACAGATGATTTATATTGTCAATAAAAATACAATAACATTTTCTTTCCAGAATTTTGAAACTTTTAGTTACAATAATGATAGGAGTAAATCACCAAGGTATCCTTGTTGAGCATTTTATCTTAGAAGTGTCAGTATAAACCTTTTATTTTTGCATGATAAACTAACAAGATTAATGATAACAGCTTAAAAAAAAAGAGCATAGAAAAAGATTTCCATGAAAAAACAAATTCACATTAAAACCTATAATGTTAATTTCATGGCAGCAAAGCAATATCAGACAAACAAGTCCTCTTTCAATCAAGCTTATTTTTTTATTTTTACATCACACCATTACTATGTTAAAATATAAAAATTTGATGAAAAGCTAAAGCAACTAAAAGAAATGAAATAAGCTTTTTATTAGCAGAAATTAACTAATGTGTTACCATTATTGTTAATGATTGAGCAAATAAGATATTAGACTTTATAAACCATATGTAAGACATTATCATCTCAGTCTAAGTTAGCTGAGCATATGAGAAATACTTGTATAAAAACATATTTTGATTTGGAGACAAGAAAAAATAATAATGAAGTTTTATCTAAAACAGAATTATTCTTACATATTTATTGGCAATGTTCCTAAATTCTGAAATTTAAACAATTATTTTTGACATGCTTACATCGTAAGCACAAACATATACACCTACATATGCACACAGAGAGGGTGTTTCTGAAACTTCTGAGGATCTGTGAATATCTACAATTTCCAAGCATGGTAGGTTACAACTAGATGGTTAAACATGTAATGATGTGCACTCCTAACAGTTATGATTAACACTTATCTACAACACATAAATACACTATGGTGAGAGTTGATAGTGATGTAATAGATGGTTTTCTTACTCTGCTTTTTGAAGAATGATTTCTTTGTTTCATACATTGTGCCTTTTGTTGTACTTGTGTCAATACTCATGTTGTATGTGGATTACTGGCTCAAATTTCATGCAGTACATTCTGTGCCTTATTGTTTGCAGTACTGGCCACTAAGGTGCATAACTAAAACCATTTGTTCTACCTCCTAAAAGTACAGTGATGTTACATAAGCATCATCATCATATACTTTACCACACATCTCTCATGTTGTGTATTCAGTAGCTAAAGAACATTTGTTATAAATATCCTGAATGGCACTACTGAAAAGATACAATAATTGTTCAAAAGTTAGCATTTTCTTAAACTGAAAATGTATTTCCAATTGGTACTTAGCTCTTCTTACACAAAGCTATCTCAGTCTTCTTTCTGCCCTCTATGCATTGCTAAAAACATTTTGATGTTCAGTGCACCAGTCTCTATTCCCTACCAATTTCACGCCACTATTGAATATGTACATATCATGTGACTACTCTCCACCAATAGTATTGCACCACCCATATTGTGAGGATCTAAAAGAACAGCACTGGTAGTGGGGAGGAAATGTGAGAGGAGGTAAGTGCCTATTGGAAATACATTTTCAGTGTAAAAAAAATTTTAACTTCCAATACAGTTTTACCTCCTCTAACACAAAGCTAGAATCCCACACTGCAAAGGTGGAGATGCACAACACTGAAATAAAGCAGAAAGTGTCCACCCAGAATGAACGAGTGTGCCCTGAGATGAACCATATCACACATGTGGAGAACTACACTACTTCTGGAACAGGTATGCCCTTTCCTCTGAAAGAAAAAAATGAACTGGATACAGGCAGAAAAAAGGATGTGTACAAGTGTAATTCATTCTGAAAGGTTAAATCCATAGTAAAAAAACAACCCAACTTTGTTACGTATATAACCAACCTCAACTGGACAGACAAGGTTCCACAACTTGTCCACAGCATTAGGAGGTTGAAGATCAATCAGATAAAAAGAAATACAATACAGAGTAACATAAACATTATAGACAAAGCATGTGGACCATAATACATATACACATGAATCCCAACTGTAAGTAAACAGTGTCATACGTCAAGTAACCGGAATTACAAAAAAGAAGTTAGCATGCGAACAAACTCCCAAAACCACCATAGAAAAAAGAAGTAACCAAACTGAACTCGGCATTACTGGATCATGGCTTTGTCTCAACTCAATCATAAGAACAGGGCAATATATGTAACTGGAATTAATATCAGAAATCTTAACTCACCCAACTGTACATGCAGGGAAGAGACATCCTGCATCCAGAATTATGAGAAGGATATGGAACATTTGCTCAACTGTAGGAACAGTGGACATTCATCCTGTTGGCAGTATTATTAGCCAGACAAAGTCTACCAAACTCAACCATAGGAGCAGGGGAGGAACTAACTACAACTGGAATTAAGAGGGGGGGGGCTATAATGCATACAATCGTAAAAACAGGGCAGTGTCATCCTAAACCTAGTGTTACAAAGAGGATCCTGCATAGACTGGTCTTGCTCCAACCAACACAGTTCATCTGGCAATAAGCATCCTGGAGAAATGGAAGAAGGGAAACCAGCTTTGCCATCTTTTCAATGAGTAGAAATATGGTAAGTTAAAAATGTCTACAATACACTTAGGATGAAGCCTCCATATTCCACCACCTCAGCAACTGGGAACTGGTAAGGACTCCCTTACTCCACTCAAGAGAAAAAAAAAAGGGGGAGTAAATGCAGTGGAGAGTGCAGAAGAACGTCACACTGGAGAAAGTGAATGGGTGTCCACAATTCTTTATTTTGAAAAGCAGACCATCTCCAATTTATCCAATCAAGGGGTCAGCAGGAATGGGCAGAAATCCCCTTGTGCTTTACTCAGGAAAGTCAATGTGTGATGGTCCACAATGGAGTGAAACTTATGGATATTGAGAAACATATATATATATATACATACCACTGGGAATGTCACCAGTTGTCTTATAGAACACCCCATCTCTACAGTGAGCATTATAGCACAACCAGTAAATAGTGCAGGTTTGAGGCAAATCATACCTGGCCAGGCAACACCCACCACAGAGTGGGATCCCATTAGCAGTGGTAAAAAAGAAAACAAACAAGATGATGTGATAAGACTTACCATAGTCAAAGACAAGTGGATGTGTGCAAAATTTTCTACATATCCCGAGTCAGATACAGTCATATCATGCAGATAATGAGCGACAAAGGTATTGGGTGCAGTCCATATTCAGGCCTGAATGATTTCCTCCAATGGACGATGAAGGCAAGCAGCCAAAGACATAGTGATATGACAAATTTATGAGAAGTAACATTGTGGAGATGGCAACCTTCCATGGATAAGTCAGAATATGCCAGCCTAATGAGTTGGTGAACCCAACCATTTAGTGTGAAAGGGGATAAATCACGGGATACAGATGGATTACAGGGATGAAAAAGTTGTGAATGTGAACTCCAGAAGGAGGCAGTATGTGCCACATAACACTGTAAGGAGCAAATCAGACAAAGATGCTGATCTGAATCAAAATGGGAATACAGGTGGAAAATAGAAGGTAAGAAAAGAGTGTGAAAGCCAAACAGCCTTCATGGGCAGCATAGGTCTTAGGAAGGAAGGATTGGTCTGGATACAGGAGGACATAAGTGGAATAGTAGAGGATTCTGATAACCTTAACACTTTTGATATGGGTCACAGGTGAGAGGCCATATCATCTTGTTTTTGACTCACATTCAAAATTTTATTGAACTACTATTTCATAAATTTATGTCAATAAATTTGGTATCAAACTGTAGATTATAATTCAAATTTGAGAACTATACATTACTCAATTTGTTAAAAATAAATATTAAAAAATACAGATAAACATTGATTTCTTTGTGGTATGTTGAGTGCAGCACTGGTTCAAATTAGATGTTTGTGAAGTCACAATACTAAGTCTATAGTTTCGTATGAATTAGAAACTCAAATTACAGATTTTGACAAGCTAAAATATAAAATAAGAAGGTATTATCTTTTCTATTTGCTAAGATATTCCTCACATAATAAATCAAACATAGTGCCACCCCGCTCACCTCCTTCCATTTTTGGAAATTCTCCCTTATAAACACTTATTTCTGTATATAATATAATTAACCAATCGGAAGCTCAGAATGTCCCCTAGTGGTTTTCTAAGCCTTTCTAATGTACCTAGCAACATTTCTTTCTTTTAAATCAAGATTTCAATGAAGTAGGTTGTGTCCTTAGTCTGCTCGAAATTTCATATTTTTTTAGACCCAAATACAGCTTAGTTACTACGTTTGATAAATTATGGTAGAATTCTATGGTATTGATGTAGTAATTTATGATTTTTTAGTTATTCAGAAATATATATATAAAACCTAAAAAAATAGTTTGTTTCATATCTTCCACGTGCAAAATTTTTAAAGGTTGAGCAACCTATGTCAAGCAGCAACCAAGTACAAAGGTCATTACTAGAAGAGATAATTGTTTGCTTTACTTCTTTAGTTACTGTTCTATGTTTAAAGAAAAATATGTTTAAGAACTTATTTCAAAATAGCAATAATTTATATACATATATAATGTATAATAATTGAAAGGTGACTGTATTTTACAAAATATTTGTCTACTAAAACACAGCCAAGACAAGTTACTTTGTACAAACCAAATGTCAGTTTTATATAATTGGATACGGTAACATGAGTCCACATGAGCCGCCTCATTGTAACTTCTGTATTATTAGCCAGGCACGGGTTAAAGGTCAATATA